AAAGCATAAGGATGCATTACTTCATATCTAAATCCCTCACTATCTCGACAGAAAAATAAATTGTTTTACATTTTGAAGCCAAGCGTGTTTAAAGGAGTAGCTCCAGGTCACTGAGAAAATAGGGAGGAAATTACATTTCAAAAGAAAATGGAAGCTATTATGTTGATATTCCTCTTTTTTTTTTTATCACTAGTACCTGAAGTCAAATGTGCTGAGACAAACTAGATAAACAGCTGAAAAATAAGGAAAATTTGTAATTTCTACTTAACAACTAACCTGAAGAGCAGTTGCTGACAGTCAAGTCAGATCGCCAAAATTTTTCTAGCATGTTTTTAATTTACTTGCCTGCATACTCTGCTGTTTCTTCCATCTCCGTTCTGGGATACTGTCCATGTATATCCACAATTCTTCCACTCCACCATCTTGCATTTTCTGCAGATTGTAATGCTTTTCTGGTGTTCCTTTTCCATACTTTTCTTTAATATTAAATACATTTAATACTAAATATAAGAATTAAGTACATCTCGCACTCTCCCTTTGAAACAGTTTATCTCAGAGCTTTCACTAGAGGAGCAGAAGTGCAGACAAGAACACGTTACGTTCATGTGAATTTCTAAGGTGCCAATTTATGAGGGTTTATGAGGAGCTGCTGTGTGCCCACAGCTTCCTGGCCCCTTGGCTTCCAGTCACCATTGGACACAGCAGAGCTCTGCTTGGGCTTGAAAGGAGCTGGGATCAGCCTGTCTGTACCTTGACTTCGCAGCTCCCAAAGCACACAGGGCCCTCCAACCTCACCAGTAGGTGCAACACCCACGGTAATGTCTTGCTTAAAGCAATGTTTCCTCAAGTGCAGTTATACTGCTGGCATAAAGTTGTTATTGCAGGCGAGGACATCTCGCTTCAGAGCTGGAACACGCTGCTGGGGACAGGGCATGGCTCTTTTCCCCATGTATATCCACCTGATCTAGGGCTATGGAGCATACCAGTCTCCAGCATCTCAGTTTTGGTGAAGTGGAAAAAATATTCCTTATGGCTAGTATCTGATGACTCCTGCCCCTTTCTCCCCTTGATATTTTCTTTATTCCATCATGTTCAGTTGAAAATTAATTCTTTCCTCTCTGAGAAATACTTCTGCATGAATTCTAAATGTTACATAGCACGTCTAGCTGAGTATTAGCTTGTTACATCTAAGTCCTCATCCTTTTTCTATGTAAGTACAGGTAAATGTTTTTAACTTCTTTGCATCTGTCTTAATTGCTGTTTGAGTCCATAGAAAATGGACTGAGCTTTGTAGAGGCAATTCCTTAGAAAATATGTTCTGAGCTGTTTCTCTAGATACTGCAGACTTCTGTTAGCTGTTCCACCTACAGAGCAAATATAAAAAATGCTCCCTCGTGATGCAAAGACAGCCGTGGCTTTTGCCACTGCGTGCTTCTGCTTTGATAACCAAAGCCAAATGAGGATCCATCATGAGCTCGGGTTGCAAACAGCCATCTAATTGCTCACTGCCACTCGTTACTGATGCAAACCTTAGATGTGCAATTGATGCCAGTTTGTCTGCATTTCTCACTTATGCCCTCTTCCACTTCCTTTAAAACTGAGCTTCAACGATATTTTCTTGGCTCTGCTGCACATCACAAATAAGTCCCAAGGTAATTCTTTTTCCACAAAAATCTTAGTAATACTGCTCAGGATGCCAGTCTCCCAGTGCAACGCTTGGCACACACAGGGGATCTCTCAGCCTGTCTGGAAATGATGTACACAACACTGCAGACTGTGGCAGGCTGTCTGGAGAGGTGTGCAGGTTCACAGCCTGTACTAGGACCATGCAAAAGAACACAATCACTGTCAGAGTTCTTCTGGCCCAGTACAACCACTGGTGGTCTAGGAATAGCAGATGTCGAGACAAAATTCAAGAAAACTCAGGAGCTGAAAAAAGGGATAACTAATCTACAAATATATCAGCAAAATGTAGAACTGCATCCTTTGGAATCATTTATGCTGGGTACGCTGCCAAGCACAGCTGTCTACAGTGGCTTATAGTCAGCATGTCAAGCAGACATTTTTCAACTAGCTGCAGCAGGGCCAGCTGTCTGCATCACTCATGTTTGCCTTATTCTCCTTTGAAATCACAAAAACCATCAGGTCTTTAATATCTTACCTGCCAGTGCAGAAAAATGGCAGATCTCTGGGAAAAGGAGCAGCACACCAGTACAGTAGGACTTCCACCCATGGTCACTAGGAAAAAGAACAGATCTGGGTCTTTCTGTAACTGTTTCGTTAATTGCATTTATTTAAATTTCAAATGGATATAAGATGCATCTCATTCACTTTTACGTGGCTTTGTGCATTTTTACTGCCACAAATATTCTCTCCCAACCCTTTTGCTAAATCTTTAGTTTATGGGGTTCTGCTTTCAGGAGGAAAATTTAGAAGTAAGGCAAGAGTGAAAATGTAAGTTCCAGATGAAGTCTGATTTCAGTTCTGCTTTCCTGATCAGTACAAACTGCCAGGTTGGCCTGCAGCTCGTATCTTAACATGCATTAAATGTTTGTTCCATTTCAATTCCATACTTTTTTTTTTTTTGTCTTGTCTTCTCCAGAACTCAGAAAAAAAATCTTATTTTGGAATTGAAGCTTTCCAAGCTCAAATGAGTGCTTTTTTTTTTTTTTTTTTTAAGTGATAAAAATGCTTTCTGCTGTCTTCCAGTTATATCCAGTTATATAAAACTAGAAGAAAATCTTTACTGACTTAAATAAAACACAATAAAATTATGCACAGACTTTTCTTCCACAGACATCTTCAAAATTAACTTAGCTCATGAAATTTAGAATGCATAAATATTCAGTGTTTGAGTTCCATCATCATGACACAACTGAAAAAATGCGTGTAAAAAAGCGTTTGTTCACATTTATTTTTTCAGAGAAAAAAAAATATTCCAATTCATTATGAACTCTATCAATTAATCAAGAAATACTGTATCACGTTTTTGTATTGCGATCCCTGTTCCCAATCCCATTTTTGGGGAAAGAAACACATGGGGATGGGAGGGGGAAGAATATTTTTTTCCCAAGATGTCCCCTAGAGGATCATTTTGAGTACCGGGTGCTTTTTATCCATTGTACTGGGAGTAAGTTCAGGTCCAAATTGGATTTTGCTTCCATGATGACTGATGTGTATCAATATTCATGAGTTAACACCTGGCATTGGCCATTTTCTATAAGCTGTGTAGCTGTTACTGCGGTTGTAGCTGCGGACCATAACAACTCATTCTAATTCATGAGGTTTTTTATACATTTTAAAATATATATGAAGTGATATTGAAGTCTAATCAAGAACAAGAACCCCATCTGCTATCTTGCAACCTAGCGATACCTGCATAGCATAACAGAGAGAAGCAGTCATGTAAGTAGTGAAGATGGAAACTTGTTTGTTTATTAAAACTTCAAATTTGTTTTGATCGTTCCTTTTAGTCCCTGTTGGTAAAAATTATGATCCAAAGTGGCTTCTTTCCAGTTCTCTGTAGAGATCTTTGAGTTTTAGCCCACTAAAAGTTTGGCAGAACATCTAGCTGCCAATTTTTTCTTAAAGAGGAAGATGATTTCAATTCCCTAACAACAGCCTATTTTATATGCAGCTCTGCTCACGCATGAGACTCTCTCGCAGATGTATGCTCTCTTTTCTACATACAGTAAGACAAATTAATTTAGGGTTTTCAACTGAGTTTTGTGTCAGGAGAATTGCAGGGACAAATATGGAATTACTGAGAAGTTATATTACCTATAGAAGAGAGGTCTGTCCACACAACAGAAAATAAAATGTCAATACCTAATCTTTTACTTCTCACCAAAATCTTTAAGAATTGGCTGAACATTGATGGAGACCAACCAGTGGATGTGAGCATAGTGAGGGGGTGGGCAGTACATTTCAGCAGTGGTGACCCAAAGGACAAGTTAGTGTTTCTGGTTATCTTCTTATATTTCTAAACATGGCTGTCTGTTTTTTGAATTTTTTTTTTTTTTTTGTATCCTACAACCACCTACAGAAAAACCTGCAATACAGTCTCCTAATGGCATTCAGATAGCAGAAAACAATTGGGAAAAGGACATATTGAAATGAACTTATGAGAATTACAGGATCAAGAGGAGTAACCTGCCTCAATGCATGAAAACCTACTGCACTAAATGTGTTACTGTATAATAACAAGTGGTTAAACTAAAGAGTATTGAACAACGTGGCATTTTCTTTGTAGGCATCTAACTCCAAATCCATCTAAAATATAGTCAGTTAACTGATTGAGAATGAGCCTACTAATGGTCTGTGATAAGATCCATGCAGATTCATTACAACAGATGAGGAAGATGCTGAAGAGAGTGAAAACATAGGACTGATGCCCACAATCTGCAATCATATACAGATAGCATCAAGCATGTTCTATGTTTCTCAAACCAAAGGAAAAAGGAGCACACAGAAGGGAAAGGATTTGGAGCATTTCTCCTTTCTTCGTCCTTCTGAAGATAAGTTCTTGGGGAAGGAGAGAACACAAGAGCAAAAAGCTGTTATAAGATTGCAGAGAAGTAATGAAATGACAGGGGTAAGCTAGAAGGACAGGCGTGGATAATCTGCATTATGTAGATTTCAAGAAGATAAAGGATTACTATTAATATTACTATTTCATGTTCAGATTAAAAGCAAAATATAATAATGAACTAAAATCCTCCATTTTCCCTGGCTCCATCACTAGAGACATTTATAACCTGTCAAAATTGCCCCTTTGTGACAGCCTCTATCGTGCACCACAATTACAGATTTTCTGTCTCTCTATCAGTGAAAAATATGCAATCAGCTACAACACTTCCTTTGTCAGATGCATGAAATGTGCCACACACTGACTTTTCCAAGTGCCTCCCCTGCAGCAGCTGCAACAGCTGGAAGAACTTCCTTCTCCAGAGGTCAGGTTTTACTGTTGCTTCCTCTCCCTACTTCTTACAATTGCTGTCACTAGCACAGAAGAAAAAATCCTGCTCGGTAAATAGCAATCTCAGTGTTTTACAAGTGGCACAACAGATGCAGTACGCTGATGGAAATGGTGTAGGCAGTGATGCTGCAAAAACTCTTCAGGCAGAAACATAGTTGTCATGTACTAAACAACGTCTCACACACACAATGTCATGGGAACAATTGTAGGAACGATCGGTGGGGCCCTAAAGTAAACTCCTGCTCTTTTTGAAGTATTCCTTGGAGTTTTCATTTCCAGATGGAGAAACAATAGAGATGAGTTCATCATGTCATCTTTGGGATGACATCTCCCACGATGCAACACCCCCTGTCACTGAAATACAGTGCCAAGCGTTGGGTATGTGCCTAGTACATGAGGTAGAAATGGAAACCACAGCCTTCTGCTGCGGAGATGCAAGCCAATAGTTGAGTCATCTCAAGGCCTTCGTATAAATCCTTGTACACTGTTTTCTACATTAAAAAAAAATAATGGATAAACCGCTAAAAATATGTGCTGCCAGGATCCAGTCATTCAGGTGTCAGGAGGAGAGCGAAGAGAATAAATACAGAAGTACGTGTTCAGGTTGAGCTTGATGAAGAACAGCATGCTCCTCATGCATTCCTGGAAGACTGAAACGAAACCTAAATTAAAATTCTATATTACAAACAAGATAAAAACGCAGGGAAACAAACAAAAACCAGTGACACCTGCAAGGCAAATCAAGGCCTTGCCTTGGCAAACAGGTTGGCAAAGGGACGACTGGCTAAGAATTTACTCACAGTTAAGCTGTGCTAGACATGCTGTATTATCTGATGTTACCTCATCTTCTGGCTCAAGATACGCTCCATTTGTTAGGCTCTGTCTTTTAATCTCCAAATACAATGGCAAAGTGATTGCCTGTGATTTTATGCTTTTCAGTGCCCACCACAATAGGACTGCACTACTGCTTCAAAAGAGCTAATACGTACTTTACGATCAGGAAAGAGAAGCCTAAGCCCCCAGGGAAAGCACTTTATATTAAAAAAAAAACCAACAAAAAACTGCTACAGCAACTTTTTTTTTTGCAATATTATACTTTAAAACTGCCTTAGATTTTCTAGAAATAAAAAAGTATAGCATGTTGAGACAAGAAATCATCAGATGCATCTAACCCATTTAAAATATTCAGGTGTCATTCCGAACTGCATTAGTCCACTGTGATTCAAAATGCTAAATGCTTCATCAAATACGATCAGATGTGAGAATTTCAGTCATAGTCTGCGACTGTGAAGGTTAAGGAATTGCACAGTGGGCTTCTATAACTGTATATAATCTCCTTATTTCTTAAAAAAAACCTTCAGTTTGACATTTGCTTGGCTTCCTCTGGACAGCCTGTGTGTCTGGGATGCTTTTAGACTCATTCCAGATTATATTATACCTAACCATAATTAAAGTGGAAGCCTGTACTGCTACAACCTCCAAGAAGAAAAGAACACCTACAGGAAAATACATTGGATAGTTCTCTTTTTTTTCCTTCCATTTAAAGTATTTGTACACGTATGAAAACACCTGAATTCCTTCAGTCAGTCTCTTCTATTGTTTATTTCAGGTGTGAAGTTGTAATTCTGCATTGGCAGCATCTGGAGATGACTGCCTTTTTACAAAATCAGCAACATAGAATTGTTCTGCAGAAGAAAAGAAGATCCAATCCTGTGTGAAACGAGCTGCCTACTGCAAGACATACAGGCCCTGAAATGAAAACTGTATAAAGTACTCAAAATCTACGTAGTAAAACTCCAAGAAACCAAAGATAAATACAGAGAAAAATAATTCCGTGGAAGAGGAAAACCAATTTCCAAATGAATTTTTATATATAAAGTAGATAAGTATGCATACATACATACACATATCTATGTGTACACAAGTGTGTGAAGTACTTAGCCTTTGTCTCCTATAAACTGTATCCCAGATTCTATATCAGAATGACTTTCAATTTCATTTCAGAAGAAAATACTGATTCACCTGAGTGGGGAGTAGAATGTGAAGAGCTGCAATAGAATTTTAAATTGAGCTACGATGTAAATCAGAGGATATTTATTTCAGGCTTCCCCTTGTAGGACCACATGATAAGTCAAATAAAAGGAAATTTGTATGGTAAAATTAGAATGATATTGATCCAGCATATAGTGAAATTCCCCAATATGCAGGAGGAGATCTGTCGACTAAGAGATAAATATCAGGTTTGCTTCTTCTTCATCATTTGCCAGGAGATTAGAGTGACAGAAATTAGCAACTGAAGCCTAGGATTCACAAAGGTTGGGCTTATACCAAGTGCTGCAATGATCTGCCTCAGCTCGGGTCACTATAGCTCAGTCTTCAGCTATGAAGACAGCCCTGAGCAGGCAGGGCTGATGGACAGCCTGTCCCTTAACATCAGTCTAGGTTTCTTTCCTTGGTAATTCTGAGGTACTTGATATGAAATTATCTAGTGCACACAGTAACAGAAGAAACACTGCTCCCTGTACTGGCTAGACAATGTCCACTAGAGACTGCTTTATGCCAAAAATAAAACATTAAAATAAAATCCCTTCTGCTGTCAAACATCTAGATGGTGTAATATAGAAGACGCAGCACATGATGAACAAGAATTGAGACTGCAACAAAGAGAGGAAGTCCTCTTCAATGAGACTTTCTTTTAGAAAAAAAGTTTTGCATGTGCTGAGACAGTTAATGACAAATTACTAAAATCTTGATTTAAGAAGAAACCCACAGTCATTCTCAGTGAAATTCTCACCTTCTTCCCCTATGTTGTACTTCTCTGCAGGCCCATGGGATGCCAGGCAAATATCTACTAGATCTGTAACAATACACAGAGTTTAGTTAATGTAAAGATAACTGGAACATAAAGCATGCAGTTAATGTCTCAGATTGTGGGAAGCTTTCAGGAAGATTAGCATCTGACAGCACAAAGAGTTGTGATAACGAGACAGCGCAGCACAATACTGTTAGAATAGCAACTAATCTCCTGCACGAGTGATAAGATGTGAATTACAAAATTGAACAGACTGAGGAAACTATCACAAAAGGAAGATGAAATGTTTCTGAATCCCTACTTATTCCACAACGCAGTTTCTTCGGTTTTGTGCTAACAGCAAGCAGAATGACCACCAAATGTTTTAAATAAATGACTGCAGTGATATGGACAACAATGAGAAGGGTTGATTAACCTGCTGACAAAACGATAACACAAGAAAAATAATATAAATTCTTCAACTCACTTAAAACCTGTAACTCCAGGACATGGTCTCAGGAGCATGCTAAAAAATGTTACCACCAACACAAGTCTTACATGAATGATAGAAATACAATGTCTTCTACCACGAAGAGGTAGGGATCATGATTGTGAAATAAAGTACACACTGAACCCCTCAGAGAAAAGAAAAATGAAACCACTATTCACAGAGAGCACTGAAAAGTGAAACACAAATCTGCAGTGCATCCACGACTGGAGATACATCTACCACCCTTGTAAGAGAAGCACACAGGGTAATATTCCTGATCAGCTATCTCTGTAATAAATTTTAATTAAAAAAATAACAACAGCATTGTTCTTTGATTTTCAAAGCTCTAGCATGTAATTATAGAAACATAGGATTCAGGTTGGAAAAGACCTTCTAGGTCACCAAGCCTGACCATCAAATCATGCCAGATCACAGCAAAAGCCAGACATTAAAGGAGTTGAGTTTCATTCAGATCAAAAGCAAACCTCCTATTGCTTTCAAAGCAAGGATAATTTTACTGAGGGATTTCATAAAACACATACATAATGAGATAGGAAAATTCCTTTCTTTTTAATTATTCTTATTCCTAATCTATAGCCATTCATTTGTACACATGCGCAGACACAAACAAGAATAAATAAATAACAATAAATGTAAACACACAAAAACACCTCAACAATACTAATCCTAACCCCTAGAAGTTCTGGCATCTTCACGGAGTTCTCTTGGACAGTGAGCTTGAGGATTTACTTACAACTGTGGGGATTCGATCTAATCTTAATTATAAGTGTTAAAAATTCATAATAGAACTAAAAAGGTGCAACTCAAGGATGCTCTGACATATGAAGAGAAACAAACAGCGTCATTAACATCAGGATTTATAAAAATCCCATCTGTTTCCTGAGGTTTTATTGCAACGCACCTGCATTCTTGGTAATTTTTCACAGTTTCCATTTTCTACTACCAACACTGCATTTTCATGGCTGGAAAGCAAACCACCTCCTGGGAGAAGCACACATTCTCTGCTGATGATATCCAAAGTCATGCTCTGCTGCACACAGAGGCTGTGAGACTTTATTGACAAGATCAACATCTCACACTTCCATACACAATCCTTTAACTGAAAATCTGGTAAAAGGCAAAAATAAAATAAAGTTAATCCTGCAAGGGTGAGCTTCTAGGTATTTCCCTTCCATTTTTCTTACAGAATCACAGAATTGCCAGGGTTGAAAGGGACCTCAAGGATGATGAATCTCCAACCCCCCTGCCACACGCAGGGCCAACTTTAAAAGGTGTTACTAAGATTTCCATTTCAATGATTTAGTAAGAGATAAATGCACTTATTGTAGTTAATGTATTTATGCAGTCAAATTTTACTTGTTAAAGTTTGGCTTGAACCTCAGCTCTACTGAGGAGGAGGAGACAGAATGGACACAAAGTGAAGTAAAGAGTGTTCAGTCTAAAACGTAGAGAGACTGAAGAGTGAAAGGAGGAGGGAAGATGAGAATTTTGCTCAGTTACAACATACGTACCCAGCCTGACCTGTGTTATGCTTGATGTAAAGTCTCCTTTGCTGTAAATGGGCTTTGTAGTGAGCCTAGGAAAAACGTAGAGTAGGTTTAAACTCCTTAGCGTCTTAGGATTCATTCTCCCCACTGTATAACTGGGAAAAGAACTTGAAAATTAATTCACTTTTGGAAGAGAGGAGGAACAAAAAGAGAGTGGAAAGAGCGAGGGACAAAGAATGACTACTATAGGAAAAAAAAAAGATTCAACAACTTCAACTAGATTTGTAATTTTACCATTGTAGAAATTGAATTTGAGCACAAGGGCCTCAAGAATAGCTTGAAGAATTCTGAGGGTCACAGTATTGATTGCTCTTTACCTCAAGAGTATACAGGCCTTTCTGAGTAGAACCTGGACATGGACAGAAATGATTCACAAAAGAGAAAGTCACATATATTTTAAAAAAACCCAACATCTAGAAACTTATTATTTTAGCTAACGAACATAATTTATTAAAATACAAAAGATCACTTTCGCATATCAGAAGTTGCTCCTGCTGTTATTCATAGTACTTCTTTTTAAAGTTAGCAAACAGGTCCTTAACATCAATTAGCAGTTTATCCAATTGCAAGTTACACTGACATCGCATGGATTTTAAACTATAAATCACCATAGATCCAAAATTATCTGCAAAGTGGGCATCGTCCACTTTTCTTCCTATTCGTTTTCTGTAGCAGTTGTTTTTCTTACTCTTTCATCTACTGCTCTCTGAATACATGTTTATACATAGCAGTGGAGTTAAAAGAACTCACTCTACCTCTGGGAGAAACAGATCAAACAATGTTAAAAGACTTTTCAGTCATCTCAGTCCACTCACTGTCCCAGATGACAGTGACATTAAACAAGAACATTGTCCAGTGACTGTGAACTGTGTGATGACAGATATTTTTTCTCATGAATGACAAAGAAACAAAACAAGACAAAATTCTAATGTCTGGAAAGAATAAGAGTAAATGATTGATGGAGAGAAACATCACATTTTCATGATCATACTATGGACAAATGTACATCCAGTGACATTAACAGAAATCTTGTTCTTGGCTTTAGCTTAATTTGCTCACTGTCTTCATCTTTCTGCTCAGCCTAACACTAGATGTGAAGCCAAGCTACACCAATTATCTCGCACAACAGATGCTGAGATCAGATTGTCAACAGCATACCAAGACTTGGATTGTGAATGCTGTCACCTTAGCCTTGGATTTACATATCTTACGCATTCACCCAAATTCACACGCAAGCATCTCAGCTTAGGATGATTTAGAATCTTTTTTCATGAAGAATCAACATTTAGCCAGGAGGCAGCAAAGAGCGCTTTCTCAAATTGTGTTCTGGCTGTTTCTGCCTGTGCTAGTGTGTTAGGTCTGCCTGGGATGTGGTTAGCTGGTGCCCAGCTGCACTGAAATGGGACAAAAGATCCATGCAGTGCATCCAGGGAAGAGGAGGAGGAAATTTACCATCCCTGCCTCTCAGCCCTCACACCACACACCTCAGTGAGGCTTCCTTGATGGGCTTGGTGTCTATTTACTCCTTGAAGAAGGTTGCATATCGCCATATCAGGGCAGGCCACAGCTGGCTGAGGAATGCAGCTCGCCATGTCACCACCATTTGGACGTGCCCATTTTCACCGTGTTTCACTTACTGAACAGCTGCCTGCTCTCTGCTTCGTCATTTTACACAATTACCTTAAAAACTTGAGTCTGCTTTCACATGCTTTTCCCATGGCAGGTATCAGATGAGGAGTGAGGTTCATAGCTGTTGGCATCTCACGTCTCAAGATAGCTGATACATTTCTCCCGTGGACAGACTTTCCATGCTTCAGTTCTGCCACATCTGTTAAGCCTCACAGCCGGGCTAAAGAGAGAAGGGAAAATTCGACTTAATCCAGGTATAATGTGGGTTGCAGCATAATAAAATCAAGTAATCCCTTAGCAACTCCATGCACACTCAGTGGGTGTTGGAAAGCCACTTTGCACAGCCCATGCAAAGTAACTGGGGTGGGCCCAGCACCAGGCTGCAGGCAGAGGAGCTGCTCCCTCCCGTCAGGATGCAACTCTGCTTGCCTCAGTCTCCCAGTCCCTGATGGCAGCCTAGAAGAAGACATGAGTGAGAAGAAAACTGTTTTTTTAATCCGCTGATAAATAATAACACTGCACTTACCAGTCTATGTGCACTGCTTAGGAGAGAACAAGAAAATGAAAGGAGAGTCTCTGTTCTGCATGAGCAATTTACTTTTCTTCTTCCCCCTCCAGAAATCAAGCGTGAGCAATAGGCATTTCAGAAATGTTTTCATTTGCTGTGTTTCCTGTATAACAGGAGATGAATTGCAATAATATAACAAATGTTTTATAGGAACATAAGCATTACAGTTTCAGAGCTCTCCTGTGAATTGAATGGATTTTCTGTAAGCTTTTGTTTAAAAACAAGTAGCGTGATTAGAGTGGAAAAAAATACAAGCCCTAGATAATTTAAACATATGTCTAAAATATTAACACTACTCCAAATTCTTCTCTCCCCCCAAAGCTTTTCATTAGCAAGCACATTTGGATCAGGAGGATTACCTGTTTTTAGCTGCGGTTCTACTTGGAGCTGTTGTCAGCAGGAAAAGCTGACGCCCGGGACAACATTATTACACAAAAGAAATGCTGAGACCATAACCCGCTCACCGTAATGGCCCATTAGTACTGAAACATCACTACTTCTGGTGGCAATCAGGCTGTACCTGCTAATTACCATGCATATGGCTGTCACGTTGGCTTTTACTAGCTGATTTAATTAATATGTAGCACTCACGAAAGGACTGTTAGAAGAAAATTGGTAGGAGCAGATAATCTAACAGACTTCGTAAATGTTACGTTGCTCGCTCCAAAAGTAATGCCTCCTATTTATTTCCATGCTAACTATGCAAAAAGCATAACAGCACTATTCGAAAGTAAAAATTCTCAGTTATAAAACACTTTTTCAATGCAGTCACCACCATCAGCTGTGTGTTTTTACCAGTGATGAACAAGGGCCTGCATTGCCACTCATAAAAAACATGCATGGCCCTTCAGAACGTAGCTAGTCTTTCATGTAGTTGTCACCACTGCTGAAATGCACCACCCACCATCTCACTGTGCTCACATCCACTGTTTGATCTCCATAAATGTTCAGCAAGTGAACTGTTTCTCATCTACTCAGAAACAGTATGTCCTAAAGATTGACAGTTTCCAGAGGTATATAATGCAGATCAAGATATTTATGTCTCCCAAGTGCCACGATACCTTGTGGAAGGTAAAGTCAGGCAGAAGCAATAATGTTAAATACAACTTACTACAAAGATGAGAAATAAACTTCAGTTTTACTGTCTGTACCTGTGAGGATTTGTACCAGAAAATTACTGCTAGAAAAGGACAGAACTGCTGATATATCACAGCACTAGATTTGTGTTAGTTCACGCAGTGTGCTTGGTAACCATGGGTACTAAACAATTTCATCAAGACTTCAAATAATCTTGGAACTATAAATAGATTGGGAAACAAAGTAGGAGCTTACCCGCAGTATAGATGAGAAACACAATATTCTTTGTAATGTAATTCATTTCTGCGCGCTCCTGCAACAATCTTAAGGTATTTATCACAATACCACCTCGTTTTTGTGCTCTCCTACCTAGCCTGCCTACCCTTTCTGTCTCTTACTTTTCAATCAAACTGAGCTTGGGCAATAATGAACAGGATAGTAATCATAAGCTCTCACTCAACTGCATTCAAATTTTAGAGAAAAGAATGCAGAATAATAATGTGTTCTAGCCAACACCAAGAAAAATTAACAATGCAAAAGATGCATAGAATATTGGTTAAGAATTTGTCAAAAACTACCACTCAAAAAAATAACTATTTTTTAATGCTACAGCATTTTTCATTATTATTATTATTAAAACTCTGACTACGTTTGCCTTCAATTAAAAATAACAGCAAAAAATGCCAAAGAACTGAATATCTCCTGGAGACAAACGAGCAATACTGTATGCATCTCCCTACTCAAATTGTGCAGAGTCCAACACGCAGATAACTCAGTTAACCAGATCATCCAAGTCAAGGTAGAATCTGTTTCAAAGCAAAGCTAATGGTAAATTAGGTTTGGCATTACTGGTTCTTAAATAGGCTTGGAAACGTATGATACTATGGAGGTCTCTGCTTCAACAGAATAGGGCTGCTATAATTACATATTCTATCCACATTTCAGCATCCATTTGAGCATCAGTGGCACCTGTACTTTGTGGTTCTGCACTGGTTATGGCAATTGTCAAGTGTAAGCAGAAGAAAAAGAAGCAGTTTGTTTCAATATTCTCAGACACCTCAGAATAGAAATGGTCTCACAAGCTGAATTTGATTTCCAGCTTTGTAAGTATTTCTGATGAACTGCTTAAATTGGAGCAACTTCATGATACTTTCTGCCATCTTTCATCACTTGGTCTATCAGCTTATGTATTTTCTATACGTCACCCTGCCATCCTTTTACGGATGCCTCTAACTTGATTTTAAGGAATGCTTCAGACCTGAACTAATCAGCCTAGTAGGTGATGCGACTTCATATTCAATCTCTGCTCAAACTCAGAGTAATAATGCAGTGGGACTCGATCCACAAGCCGTAGTTCAAGTTCACATTATTTATCAAAATCACCGGGGGCTCCAAGGCTGCGGCTGGGTGAAATAACTGGCAGCAGTGCTCACACTAAAGGCAGGGTGGAAGCACACCAAGTCCAAGTGAAGCAAATGCTCCAGCAGCTTTTCTCTGTCAAACTAATTCATGGGTGCTCAATTTTTAATGGGAACATCTTAATGAATTTTGAGCCAAATGGCTTTTTTTCTAAAGTCTAACCAGCATACGGATTTATACTTGTATAGCTGGAACTAATTATAACTTTTTTTCATGCTTCTTGGCTACCCTTATCACTGAAGTGGAAAAACACGTATGATACAATATTAAGGCAATGAAATGTTTTTCTCATTCTGGAAAGAAGTTCCAGTTATTAGATATCTGATTTTAAAATAAGAATCACCAATAATGTGTGCCAGCACGGACTGGCCGCATTAGCTAAACACGTTAATCATCTGAAGAGGATTTTCAGTACTTAACTATGAGTATCTAAAAAGTTTAAATCATTGAGTGTTTAAATATGCATGCTAATTGCTGAGAGAGAGACTCAAGATGTCCCAGGGAGCTCAAGAACCCAAGGTGCATGCAGGGGCTCAGCACGTCAGCACCCTGCCCAGCCTGCCCAGAACTGCCTAACCACCAAAAACAACACACTGCAGTGGGGCTGGTCTCTGCTGAGTGATAGTGGAGAGAAGAGGCACTGCAAGAGCTCAGAAACAAAAGAGAAGGCAGGGGGACCACTGCCATCCCACTTTGGTGGAGCATTCCCCCAAAATCTTCATACTTACCCATATTTGCCTGTGGCTGCCTTTTAGATCATTAACCACAAGCCATTTATTTCAGGCATGATTTATGATCTACGTGATCATAAAAAGAAATCTGATGTGGACAAATGTGTTAAAAACAAAGCTTCCCTTTTTCTTAGTTTATTACAAAGTTATGTTTGACTTCACATTCATTACTAAGTGTCCTCACAGTCAAGTGTCACATCCAACCTAATGCTGTCTGACATTCAAACTAATACAATCAGCTTCAGATGGGAAGCTCAGTACACAGTGTTTTCACTTGTGTACCTTTCAAGCAGAAGCATGACCATTCAGATATGAATTCAGTCACAATAGAAAATAATAATAAAAAAAAATTAAAACATCAAAACATTAATCTGTATTGGTTTTCCAGTATTCCATAGAAAAAGAAATCTGTGCCAATTACCCCACTAGATAATACTTTCCCTCCGTGAGCATTAGAATCTTAATAAAACCTTAAATCAGGCTTTCCTTGTGAAAGGCAGTGAAATGTCATTAATTGGTATCATTTTCAGAGGTGGTTACCCAACAGAAACGGTTGGCTCCATGTGTTCTTCTTCTCAGAAGTGGAACGAAGATTCATTGTAAAGCACAAACATGACCAAATGTTTGGCAACTTATAAGCAGAAACAAAATGGTATGTAATTTATGTCTGTAACATGCCTTTCAAGGTGAAGGACATTTATCTACCTACTGATAGCGGGTGCCTATGTCTGTGCAAAGAGACAGAAGCTGTATTTCATCCTTCTGTTTGGAGCTCTCTTTTTGGATACCAATTCTATCAGCTTCCATAAATATCAGTAGGAGTTAGAAGTACAAGAGGAATTAATAGTTCTTCCACTCAGGCCAGTCTCTTTAGAAACTGCAATGAAACCTTTTTGTAAGTTTTAGTCTGGCTGAAATAAAGCCTAGGAATCCTTATGAGTTGCTAGACTGAAGTAAATGACTTCTCTGTTTCTCCAATGAGATCAGATCATATGAGGATAGAAGAAGAGCAATTGCAAGAGGTATAGGACAGAAAAGGTAATTATACAAGGAAACATGATGATTCATTTACAAAACCTAGAATTGCTTAAGGTGAAAAATAGACCACCATTATCATCACTTAGACTGACAGAACTCTACAGAAGAAAATTTACAGACAAAAGAAGAGAATATTTTTAAAAGTACTTAAAATAAATACACACTAATTACACAAACAGGAGATCATAAGTTCTTAACTACTTTTTTCTTAGTCTGTATTGCCAGTGATGTTCAAATACCACAGATATTTCTCTATCAAGAACATATTTTGGCCTCAAAACTGACAAGTGACACTCGTAATTTACAATATGCTCAGCATCTTTGAAGACTTAAAGGATATTCTAAGAAACCCCATGTAAGTTCACTATGGAATACATTCCTTAACATGACCTTATCAAGCCTGGCAGCTATTGGAGACATCAAAACCTCCTTTGCCAACTGTGTTCATATGAATGCGAGTCCTGCACATGCTTACGGTAGGCAATGCACAGCAGTCTCTAAGAATCAGAGAAGAAACGGAGCTAAAAAAACTGCAAAATGACAGTGCAGATTTCTTAAGTCTTCTTCAGACAGACTGTTTAGTTCTGTGCAAGACAGTGAGCTGTGCAGAAACTTGAGGTTTTCTGCTCAAATTCATACTCAAAGAGCTTTCCAGCCAGTGCCATCCCTAGAGTTTGTTTTGTCGTTCCTAAGGGACCAACACAAAAACCAACCACTGCTCTGTGAAATTCCTGCTGCCTGATGACTGACTTGCCAGGTGAGACTGCCTCCTCTTACTGCAGTTACCAAAGCTTCCTACCTGCTGAATGTAGGTTCTAGTTGGGCTATTTCAAGCCTC